AATTGATCTATGTATTGTGATGAATTGTATGAGCCCCAATAAATTGATTAAAAAAAAAAACACGTTATATTTGGAATAAGCTCACAGAAGTATGAACTAGAACCCTAGGAGCAATAGGGTTTTTGCTCAGCCTCATAAACTTTTTGACTTGGCTTCATAAACTTTACCTCTGACCACAGCTGGTCTTTTTTTCTGATGTCAGAACAAAGTCTTTTCATTAAAGGCTTTTCTATCTGTCTATTGTGTTCTTTCATCCATTCCTGTATTCCCTCCCCTAGCCAGCACTGACTTTATAGAGAGAAGCAGGCAATGTAAGAGCAAAGAATATTGGAATGTACGTTGTGGAAAGTTCTGTGTAGAAAGGTCAGGAATTGCCATTTCTTCTTGGAACTGATGCCTTGTGTGGCCATTTTGTGTAGATGGAGTTGTTTATGCTTGGGGCCACAATGGATATAGCCAGCTTGGAAACGGGACTACTAACCAGGGCATTGCTCCCATCCAAGTCTGTACCAATCTCCTGATCAAGCAAGTGGTTGAAGTAGCTTGTGGCTCACATCATTCCATGGCTTTGGCAGCTGATGGAGAGGTAAGTGGTTTACATTCAACTCAAAATAAGATAAGGACCATATTTGTGCTTGGGATAGTGTGAACCAAAAGGATGTGGAAGGCAAAGTAAACTGTCACAAAAGCCTCTTTGGCAGCAGATCAGTACATCATAGTTACAGGTGGGAATGGGACCATGATTGGGACACATACATGATGGTTCAATAGAGGTGCTTACAAGATCTGTCCAGGACCTTCTAATCAAGGCCATCAGGGAATGGCTCATGGCTATGTGATCCCCAGTACATAAATCTACATCAAGGACATGCTCAGGCAAGCTTTTCTCCCTGGGCTGGCTGAAGACGGGTGGAGGTAATCCTCTTTACGTCTGACGGCAAGACTATTCTGATCCTTGGTCTATGGTCAGAAGGATTTCATTGGAACCTCAATCTACTTTGGGAACTCTACAAATGGATGTTGGGCTTTCACTGTCCGTAGCCTTCTGCAAACGGGATGTCCAGAATTTAAGTTCTAATGCACGATGGGTTGCAGGTTGTGTTTTGTGTACCTTGGAAAGAGACCTGTAGCACATAGTATTTTAAAGCATTTATTACTATGTGTTTTACTGGTGCTTCTTGTTGAGAGTGCGTCAGTGATAGGAACTGAGATAGGATTGCTGACAGAGGAGAGAAAGAATTGTGGAAATGTCTGAAGGCCAGTTCCAAGTGAAGCAATCCTCCATAAAGCTTCTTTCAAAAACAACAACCAACCAGTAATGAGAGTAGTGAAACCAGGAGGGTAAAAGAAAGGTGGGGGAGAAAGGGGAAATCGATCACAATGATCTACACATAAACCCCTCCATGGGGGATGGACAATAGAAAAGTGGGTGAAGGGAGACATTGGTTAGTGTAAGACATGAAAAAATAATCGTAATTTGTAAATTATCAAGGATTCGTGAGGGAGGGGGGGAGGGAGGGCCGGGGAGGGAGGGGGGAAATGAGAAGCTGATACCAAGGGCTCAAGTAGAAAGAAAATGTTTTGAAAATAATGTGCTTGACACAATGGATGGATGGATAGATTGTGATAAGAGTTGTATGAGCCCCTAATAAAATGATTTAAAAAACAAACAAACAAAAAAACCCAACCACCCAACCAATTACCACTGAGTCAATTCTGTTATAAAACGGAACTGCCTCGTAGGGTTTTCGTGGTTGTCAATTTTATGGAAGCAGCTCAAGAGGCCTTTTCCCCAGGGCCCTGCTGTGTGGGTGGGAGCCACCAAACTTTAGATTAGTAGCCAGCCACAAACTGCTTGGGCCATCCAGAAAATACTCGTTAAATGAGTTTATTTTGATTGTATTAGTATTATGATTATGAGTTAGAGGTAGACTGTTCACACGTACTGCGATTTCTCTTTCTCATCTCTTGTGTAGGTATTTGCTTGGGGTTATAACAACTGTGGCCAGGTGGGATCAGGATCCACTGCAAATCAACCAACTCCTCGAAAAGTTAAAAACTGTTTACATATTAAGAAGGTGGTTGGCATTGCCTGTGGTCAGACCTCATCCATGGCTGTTCTGGACAATGGAGAGGTGAGCCCTCTCTCTATCCTTTCTCCTCCCATCTCCCCATCCAGTGAAATGCCAGTTTCTTTATGCGATGTGTGGATTAGCTGAAGGAAGGATGCTTTGGTTTGGGTTTGGGAATGTCGTTGGTAACTGCTGCTGAGAGAGAGCCACACCACACTTGCTCTTCAGTATGAACTTGCAAAATTCCGAGCTTTATCTGGGCGTAAATGTTCTGTCCTCTCTCAATTCTATTTTTGCAGATCCAGCTAGCCTAACATATATCAGTGTTTGTTTGCAATTTAATGTAGTGGATCAGAGAACTTGATAGCACTTTCCTCTTCCGTTGAAAATATCAAGTGTGCACTCCTTCAAAGTTAGCTGATGATATGTATAAGCAGTCAAGGACTGTTAGGCAGGATGTCTTTTTTTAAAAATTTTATTACAAGATAATTTTACTGGGGGCTCTTACAACAATCTATACATCAATTTTATCAAGAATATTTATACATAGGTTGCCATCATTATTTTCTAGACATTTACTTTCTATTGAGCCCTTGGTCTCAGCTCCTCTTTTTCCCTTCCCCCACCATGACCCCTGGATAAATTATAAATTATTATTATTTTCATATCTTACACCGACTAGTCTCCCTCCCCCTACCTTTTCTGTTGTTCATCCCCCTGGAGCGGGGTGTGGTTATGTGTGAGTCATCGGTTCCCCTTTCTTCCCCTCCCCTTCTCACTTTCCCTGTGTAGGGGGGATAGCCAGCCCCCGACAACAAATTATGGGTTCAGTAAGCACAATTGTACGGTTGAGATCTATCGATTATAACAAAGTCATAGAGAATGAGAGAGATTGGAGAGAGAGTAAAACAAAGAAGTCAGACACATTTCATGGTAGCATGCTCCCCTCCTGGATGGCCACGATCTCCACAGCCAGGTCCGTGCACAGCACGGGCCGAGAGGGCAGGGGAGAGAGAACTGGAGAGAGAATGATTTATTGCTAGCCAAAGCTTATATATCTTTGGGGGTGTGCATGCCTCCTAATTACAGGTAAAGACATACATTACAAGAAGGGGTTGTACAATAGGCAATACGAGCAATAGGAAGGGGGTATACAATGGGCATAAGCATAACAGGAAGGGGATGAGCTAGGTGTACACATGATAGGAAGGGGTGGGACTAGGGGTATACATGTGACAAGAAGGGCGGACCCTAGATTTATGATGGTGGCCTAACCTTGGCCACCCTGGAGTGGGCTTGACCTCCCTGGGCTCTCTTTCAGGGAAACAGTCTACTACTATCCTTATCAGAAGGTCATGGGCCCTACTTAGGGTGGAACAGACTATACAGTCTGATTGCTCTAGATGGCTGATAGTCCTTAGGGAGAATAACCTCTGACCTATTTTCGTCCACCTCCAAGTGTATAGTCATTTACCATGTGTAGCAAGCAGCTAGGTTTGACATATATTTGGAAGAGACAACTTGGGAGAAATCTTTCTGTTTCCCACACCTGTACCCTTCTGGTATCACTACTTCCATTCCTGTTACTGGATTCCATGTGTCATGAGCTATTATCTCTTATCTGTACCTGCACCGATGCTCCAGTCTAGCCTGCAGTGAAAGGCAGGAGTAGGGGGTGAGGGAACCTCAGGAACCAGAGGAATATTGTGTGTTTCATTGGTGCTACACTGCACCCTGGTTGACTCATCCCTTCCTTGTGACCCTTCTGTGAGGGGATGTTCTACTGATGGGTTTGGGGGTCTCTGCTCCGACCCCCTTGTTCTCAACAATATGGTTTTGTTTGTTTGTTTGTTTGTTTGCTTGTTTGTTTTGAGTCTTCTGATGCCAGTTACTCAAGCCCATCAACTCCTCATGATCGCACAGGCTGGTGTGCTTCTTCCATGTGAGCTTGTTGCTTCTCTGCTAGATGGCTGCTTGCTTAACTTCAAGCCTTTAAGACCCCAGAAGCTTTATCTTTTGATAGCCAGGCACCATCTGCTTTCTTCACAACATTTTGTCTTCAGCTGTTGTGCCGGGAGGATGAGCATCACAGAATGCCAGTTTGCTAGAACAAAGTGCTCTTGCATTGAGGGAGGGCATGAGCAGAGGCCCGAAATGTGTCCAGTACCTCAGTGTATTGCCATATAAATAGATGGATCTAGACCAATACCAATATTTTTATGAATTAATGTATTTACATGTGAACACACCTATGCCTACACCTCTATTCATAGCTTTGCTTCCTAGATCATTCCTATGTTTCCTTTTACCTTCCTTCTGCCCCACCATCATGCTCGCCCTTCTTCTGCCTCTTAGTAATACCGCGCAGCTAGATTGCTGTTGCTCCAACACCCCAGGATCTCTACATCCTTCTTGTTGTTGATTTTAATTCCCTAGTTGTTCCCCTGTCCATGGCGTCGTTTGTTCACCACTCCCTGCCCCTGCCTCCTTCTCCCCCCAAGTCCCTCTGGAACGTCAGTATCATTGCTTTTCTCCTTGAGCTTACTTCCCGTTTATCTTATATAAGTAGGTAAACCAACAATAATTGAGACCAAACAAAAAGAAAACAAAAGATTGAAAAAGAAAAGAAAAGGGAAAAATACATAATTCCAGGTCCGGTCCACTGACCTTTATGACTATCTCCCCACTGGTCCTGGGGGGGTTCCCGGAGCTCCTCCTCTTAGCCTGAAGTCTATTTTTGAGGCTCCTCAGGGGCTTGTGGCTTGGCTTTGCTCCCATTGCTGACCTGTCATGTTTCCTTCTTGGTTCATCCCGCTGTGGGGTGTTCAAACTGGACTAAAACTCCCCGCCGTGGGTCCCCAGTATTGTCCCCTGTCATGGGATGCTCCAGTGAGGGGACAACATGTCTTGAGCTGTTGTCGGCCCTACAGTCCTCTCTGTGCCTTAGCAGTTCTGCGCAGGGACATCGTCCTTTTGGGCTTGGTGTGCCGATATGGGGTCTAGACCAGCCCTTTCTCTTTTTCCTTCTTGGTTTGGCTTCCTTGTGGGCATGGCATGCCAGCCCCTCTCCCCAACCTATAGGTTTAGTGTTGTTCTCTGTAGCACATACTTCTAGGGAGGGGTCAGTTTGGCTCTGATTGGGACCAGCCTTGTGGCCCAATCTTCATGCATTGCTCCACGTGGTTACGTTGCCCTCAAGGTTTAGTGTGCCGTGGTGGGGTCTGCAGGAACACTCCCAATTCTGTGGAGACATAACCAATACTCTTCCCCTGGGTAGGTTAGTGCCTTACTCCCTGTGCCATTGTCTCCCCCGCCCCCTTTCTCCCCCTTCCCCCCTTTCCCCTTCTTTGTGTTGTAATAATATGTACCTCCTTGGGTTTGGTCGGACTCCCACCCGACTGCCTGTACCTCAACCCGTGTAGTGTGCGATCAGTGGTTTTCTTCTATACTTACTGTGCTGATTATACTTACATCAGGGGGCTCATGTTGTACTTATCCTTTGGTGATTGGCTAACTTCGCTTAACATAATTTCCTTCAACTTTCCCCATGAAATGATGTGCTTCATGTAATCATCAGTGCCTTTTAGTGATGCATAGTACTTCATTGTGTGTATGTGCCAGAGTTTTCTAATTCACTTGTCTAACGATGGAAATTTAGGTTGTTTCCAATCCTTTGCAAATGTGAATTGCGCTGCAATAAATACCAGAGCACAGATGACTGTTTGCAGTTTATTTCTTACCTCTTCTAGGTATATATGCCCAGTAGAGGGATGGCTGGGTCATAAGTTAGTTCAATTTCCATTTGCTTGAAATGTCATCAGATCACTTTCCACAGAGGCTGTACGTGTATCTACACGGCCACCAGCAGTGGAGGAGAGGTCCTATCTCGCCCACATCCCCTCCAACAATTTGTTGCTCTCTTATTTCCTGATTTAGGCTATCCTCAAGGGTGTTAGGTGGTATCTCATGGTTGTTTTATTTGCATTTCTCTGATGGCTAATGATCAGGAACATTTTCTCATGTTTATTGGCCATTCTCCCTAGTGAAACTTCTGTTCAGGTCTTTTTCCCACTTCCTCAGGGGTTAATTATTTTCCTCTTTTGGCAGGCTAGGAGGGTATTGTAGATTTTAATAATAAGCCCTTTGTTGTGTCATTGCTAAAAAAATCCTCTCCCAGTCTGTGGGTTCTCTTGTTACTTTCTTTGTGAAGTCTTTTGATGCCCACAGGTATTTTATCCTTAGTATATCCCACTTATCGATTTCAGGTTCGTGTGTGTGTGTGTGTGTGTGTGTGTGTGTGTGTGTGTGTGTGTGTACCCTTCCCTATTGCAGTTAGCCTATGTATTCACTATGTATTCCCAAGGTTCTTAGGTTTGTCCCCATTCCTTTGTTGATGGTCTTGATAGTTTGGGGTTTTACTTCTAGGGCTGTGATCCACCTTGAGTTCGTTCTTGTGCATGGGGTGAGGTAAACATCATGTTTCCTTTTTCTATAGGTGGATATCCATTGTTTCCAGCACCACTTGTTAAAGAGGGCATCCACCTCCAAGTTGATACATTTTGGGCCCTTGTCAAAGATCAGTTGTCTATCTGCTGATGGTTTTATTTCTGGGTTTTTGTTCTTTTCCATTGGTGTGACTATCTGTCATTATACTAGTACCATGCTGTTTTGACAACTGTGGCTGTATAGTAGGTGTACAGCCAGCCCTGCAACTTTGTCCCTCCTCTTGAGGAGTTCTGTGCTAACGCTGGGCTTCTTCCTTCTCCATATGAAATTAGTGGTCAGTTTTTCCAGTTCTTGGGTAAGATTGACATTTTTACCGTATTGAGTCTTCTTGATCTCTTCCATGGTCTTGTCCAATGTATATAGCAAACCAATAGACTTCTGTTTGTTGCTCTTGTATCCTGCCACCCTTCCATATTCCTCTATTGCTGTCAGTATTCCTGTTGTGGGGCTTTTGGGATATTCAATGTATAGAATCTTGTCATCTGAAAATAGTGATAGTTTCATCTCCTCTTCCTCCAGTTACATACCTTTAATGTCTTTCTACTATCTTATGTTGT